AGACTTTGGTTTAGGATTACATAAAATTAATTTCAAACAACTGGCGATAACTTTTAAAACAAGTTTAGAAAGTATTTTTATTTTTATTCAAAATCCACACTTCAATGAGTGATGCAATGTTTCAAATGAATTATTCATCACATTTTACAAACTTATGCAAGAATTCAAAACAAGAAATTCTTGAAATTCTTGAAATATCTGTATTCAAAAATTAGCATAAAATCAAACAAATTTTAGCAATTAATTCAAACACAGATTCTTTTATATGATAATAAACTACATTTGCATGTGCTACTTGCGTTAAATGCTAAAACTACACCTTATATTGCATATAAACTGCTTAATATAACACTAATGGTATTCATTTTAACGCATCGGACACCCATTAAATCCTAATTAATAAAATACAAAAATATACAACAAATGCTAATTAATAAAAACAAGACATTAAAACTCATCAGACATTGAAAGTTTAGAAAGGGTACAGAATCTTGATCTCAGAGTAAGGTTTGTGTCAATGAGTGCCAAATGAGACCCAAATGTCGAGATAAGCGAAAAACATGAAAACCATATCTGAATCAAAATCATAAATAAGTTTGCGATAAGTTTAATGAATACTAAATACCAAATGAATTCACAGAATAAAAAGTACCCAAAAAAGTTCACTACAAATAAATTGCAATTACAATATTAGTAAGTCATTACAAATTCATGTACAACTAAACATCCCTGACAAACAAAAATCTGTGCAAACACCTACTATAAATGTGAACAACTAAACATCCTTATGTAACAAATAATAAGTGGAGTAAACGTTAAGTTTAATAACATTTGGCACAGACTTTCAAATTGACGCCAAAACGGTAAGCCATAGCAAAAGTGCCGCACATTTAGCGCAAACTCAATGCAAAAACGCGTTGACTGTTCAGTGCATTAAACGCCGACTCCTAAGCTAACTATCACTACATTTGTTGTGTCCGTTGTTTCGCTAAATCCTATTTAATTTCAACTCATTTTCACCAATCAGTCGGTGATTGTCAGTCAGTTTGTGCCATCGATTCACAGGTAATTGAATTAAATTTGTTTAATTGTAAGTAAATTACTATTTTACACGTATTAACACCATATATACACTAATTTCCTGCCCTTTGTTATTCACGTATAAGCCTTAATTAAAAGTACATTTATTTGCTAGATCAATATTAGCATTGAATAGAAATACGAAAAATACTTTTATTAAATATATTTATTTAATCGATTTAAGCAAACAATTATTAGTTATAATTGAATTTATGATGACTTGTAGGCTATATAAATCATAAGCCGGTTACTATTAACAGTAATATAAAAAAGTGAATACATTTTTACTATACACCACATAATCATAATTTATAAAACTCATTAAACTAATGGTACGAATGCTATATGAAACACATTTGTAATTATATTAAATTAAATATTTGCCAAAAGTATGAGTTTCACGAAATATAACGAGTATTACATCAGACAAAGCGCTAATCAATTAAAAAATAAATTTCTACAAAATTCATTGACAAACGTCTTTACAATTTAAAGGGAAAGTCGTGTTGAAAGTCATGTCTCTCTCACTCACACACTCGTTGTAAAACTAATATTATCCAACGATTTGCCACTAAATTTAGTTTGAAATTAATATGAGTAAAATTTTATTTGTTTTATATGTATACCAAAAGTAACAAAAGAAAAAGATTTTTATGACATGTAATGTAATTCAAGGCAAACAACTCATTGTGTACTGTATTTGTAGCTAATTTTGGGTACGTTTTAGGGCTAGAATCAGGTCATCCCTGAGCCCTAAGCACCGACACGTCTGTCCATCGGATGCAAAACATTTGCATTAAAAAGTTAATTATATTCATAATTAAAATCATAATGAATAGCATTATATGAATGAGTAGTAAATGTAATTCAAAGCAAACGCCAATTACTACAGCTATCGGTAACTCAGCAATGGTTAGGAATATGCAGTACTAATGAGAAGTACTTTTTAATGGTATCCGAGTGTATGAGTGCTATCCATAACTGGTTTTATATTTGATAGTAAGCCTGAGTCCCAAACTACTCTTCCTTAACCACTCATTAGCCGTATATTATGTTTCAAAAAACGGTTTAGACATCACTGGCCTTGACTTACAATTCAATACTTTTTTCTGCGGCAAAAAATAACAAAGTTTTTGATACCCAAACTACTCTTCCTTAACCACTCATTAGCCGTATATTATGTTTCAAAAAACGGTTTAGACATCACTGGCCTTGACTTACAATTCATATGAAAAAAGACGCCGTTTTTTATTGTTTCAAAAACTATTTTTGAGAAAATTATGAGAGAGACTAACGGTAAGTATCTCATCACCACAAACACACTGTTGAAAGATTGACAAATAAGTTAATGACATTTATATTAAATAATATCTAAATATTTAATAAAATAACAATTTCCCTTTTAGATGGCATTTGTACTGTTAGTCTAATTGTGTTTCACTGTAACCTCTTTTTAGTTTTTCGCAAAAGTATTGATTTTCTGTAATTGTTTGTCTCAATATTCATTATATTCTCGTTTATACTTGTAATACGAATCCATATTCAAGTATTATATTATTTATCTGTTATTCATGTTCAGAGTCTGTACTGACTTTTACTTAACTTACTTTGACTCTCACTCCTTATCTAATAATTTAGTGCATTTTCTGGTGATAATCACTTGAGACTAATATATTAACAGTGTAAATATAAACACTAATTTATAGGTTTCAAAAAAGCATTTGTGTAATTGCTAACTAATTTAATTAATGCGCTAATTAACTAACAGTTATGTTAGTACTGAAGTGAATACTTGTTTTACAAATTAAGGAAAAGTAATTAATTGTTCATTAATTTATGCCTTAGTTTTGATTTATTTGAAATTGATTTTTAATTAGTTTATTGATTATTGCATTAATTGTGTATTAATATAGCCAAGGGTAGTTGATATGTGAATGCATGATACAAATGACTAATTGAATGTAAATGTCCGACAGATTCCTTAAAGTCACCTCAAAGTCCAGAACCAGAAGCAGATATGGCCAACACCTGTTACCCGAAGATCGGAAAGCCTGCCCCAGACTTCAAGGGAACCGCTGTAGTGGACGGACAGTTCAAAGACATCGCTCTGAGTGACTATCGCGGCAAATATCTCGTCCTCTTCTTCTATCCCCTCGATTTGTATGCCATTTACAAAACTATGGCTTCATTTGTGGTCTTAATTGTATGATTTACTATCCGATGAACAGTACGTTTGTGTGTCCGACAGAAATCATATCATTCAGCGACCGATCGGACGACTTCCGCAAAATCGGCTGCGAGATCGTCGCCTGTTCGGCCGACAGTCACTTCAGTCACTTGGCCTGGTATGTGATCTCGTGATCATTACTCGCACGTGATTTTCATAATTAGCACTCAATGAGTACTCAATCATTTGACAAATAACTCCTGTCTTACGAATGCATTGTAAAACTGTTATCAAAATCACGTTTTATATGATAGTTAATTGTCACTGATATCGTGTCTAACCTACTGTTCCCGCCAAACAGGACAAACACACCCCGAAAGGAGGGCGGTTTGGGCGCAATGAAGATCCCGTTGTTGGCGGACAAGTCGGCGAAGATCTCTCAGGACTACGGCGTGTATTTGGAAGACGCGGGCATTCCGTTGAGAGGGCTCTTCATTATCGACGATAAGCAGAATTTGCGTCAAATCACGATCAATGACCTGCCCGTCGGTCGCAATGTCGATGAGGTTTGCATGAAATCACTGAAAATTGCTTTTCATGGAAACCCTTGACTTGCCTATAGGTTCTGCGTTTGGTTCAGGCGTTTCAGTTCACTGACGTTCACGGGGAGGTGTGTCCGGCCGGTTGGAGACCCGGCGCCGACACCATTAAGCCCGAAGTGAAGGCCAGCAAAGAGTTCTTCAACAAACAGTAGACACCAAATACATAACCAATCATTTGATTTGTTTGCGGATCTTCTTCTTGAGCACAATCTTTGTGATTAGAAATTGTTTTTAATGTTTTTTATTAATCCTTTGTTTTTCTATAAAATTATGTCTGGAATTGTATTTTGAAATAACTGTTAACCACTTAATCAAAGGATCTTCTTCTTGAGCACAATCTTTGTGATTAGAAATTGTTTTTAATGTTTTTTATTAATCCTTTGTTTTTCTATAAAATTATGTCTGGAATTGTATTTTGAAATAACTGTTAACCACTTAATCAACGATTAGTTTTTAAATTACAATATATTCTGTAACTCTATTTCTGCTAATAAAATATGTGAACGCTTTTAGTGCTCTTTTAAATTATGGATTTTAATTATTATATGAAAAGTGATTATTAACTCTATTTGAATAGTTTGGTAATTATAACCCTTTGTAGGTTATAAGCGCTACATTAGCTGAAGTTATACATAGTGTTGATATGGATGTAAATCAATCACAGAATCTGTCACCGATGACCACTACAATGAACCTCATAATTCACTTAATATTAATGGATTTTAATATTAAAGAGACTCAGATAATTGTGCTGTAAATACAAAATAATTGATCACCTCGTCAACAATTAGAAACTTATTTACGGTATTTACTCAATAAATGAAATGTTTTCAAATGGTCTGAAATGAGTTACGCCCAATGCAATGCTATTCTTTGCTATAAAAGGGCTTAAGTTAAGTGTTTCAATGAAATATTTTGTATAATTATGCCATCTACTTGACAAAAATATACTAATTAATTGATAATTAGGGAACTAAATAATGAGAATATAGTGATTGAATTTGTGTATTAGTTTTAGTGAACATCAAAAAAGGTGATTCTGTGAAAGAAATATTTTTAACAGACCTCAAAGCAGGAGCTAATCTTTTTTATATAACAAATTGCATTGAGTGTGTATATGAAAAGGGCCCAAATATTTATATGATTTTCAATTTCTTCAATTTAAGACAATTATTTTACTTTAATATTATTTCTACTAAAGTTGGTATTATAATGAATTGATAAGAATGCTCGGTAAGTACATATGACATTACTCCAAATAGTACCCCTCCATCAGTATATTCGTTCCAACAGCGGTTAACACAAAATCAACTTGCGTAAATATATTATGACTACCTAAATTAGAATGAATGCCATCTTTGTTAAGAAAAATATACAAGGTTACATTTAAAATACATTTATTTATAAAATAAAAGGTATAATCAATGAAAATTATGATCAAGTACAATAATAATAATATATTAACACTTTTTTGTCATAACTAATAATAATTTACTTGTAAAGACATTTACATAAATGATATCATTGTGTAAAACTTATGTTCAAATCAGACAATAAGTATAATAATGTATTGCTTATATGATAATATGTGACTTCCCATAACAATAATGCTTAACAATAAAATTCATAAACGAATTGAATTAATAAATACAAACATTAATCGGAAAAATTTTCATATTTATATAACCATTGATTTCATTTATCGACAAAATAATGAAAGATTTTTCGTGTATTTGTTTCGAAGAGTTTTAAAGAGTTTTTATAAAATATTTTGTTTTTTCGATAATTTTCTTCTCAAATCGCCGGACGTCTCGATTCATCCGATTCTGGCTTTGAAGAGGCGGTTACTGTAAGCGCCGGAACTGACGGCAGGACTCGGTTTGGCGAACGTCACGTCCACTGAACCGATGCACGACTTCGGGTCCGAGAAGTAGTAGCACAGCCTTCGGGGCGCCATTCGGTGACGCTTTATGAGCTGACAGCACAGCCCATGACTCGCATCGCATTCACTCGATGTCACGCACTCGTCATCTGTCGCACACACGGGACACAACACACCGTTATAATCAGGGATATTGTCAAGAATTTCAAGAATATTGTCAAGAATTTCAAGAATATTGTCAAGAATTTCAAGAATATTGTAAAGAATATAAAGAATTTTGCATAAATCTGTTATATGAGAGGTATATGTATGGGTGTGGGAACGGGACGTTTGTCGGCATACATACTGTACTGCTTCTTCATCATATCCCTTCCTGGCGGTTGACACGACTTCTGCTGCCGTTGTCTTGAAGACGTCATCATTGGCTGATTGTCGAGACATCTTAAGCCGGGTTCGCAGTCGTTGTCGTCGTGACAGGACTCGCCCTCATTCACGCCATATAT